AAAGAACATTTTTGCAAGTTCTGTACCTTTGAGTCGACTCAAAGCCCTGCTTAGGTCGACTCATACAGAGTGAATTTTTATGATTTGCTCTCAGGAGAGCTCGCATCGACCCTCTGGTCGACTTATACTGTTAGCATTTTAATTTGTCAAAACTGGGTTGTTTTACGTCGACACATAAACCTGTTCTGGTCGACACAAAGAGACAATTTCTGCATAATTTTGAAAGCGGGAGAGCTCAGGTCGACCCCCTATTCTTTAGGTCGATCGTTCGCTCGTTTCACTCTATTTTTCTGTTATGTTTGTCTTTCAAAATGTCTGTTATGTTATTTATTTGGTTTAAGCTTCACACATATATATTATTTTGGCTTATTCTTTTATGAACAACAAGAAAAGTGAAAATAGACATTGATTTTGCTCTCATCATCTTCATCCTCTTTCTTGCATTTTCTCAACAAATACACATAACCATTTTTGTTGTGCATTCTGCATCATTGAGGTGATAACGTCTAAACATGGGATCGTTGTATCGGGTTTGGGTTGAGAGATCAATGGGTTTTTATTGAATAAAATCGTTAGGGTTTTGTCCTCAAAGAATATTGGATTTTAGGGGTTTTACACAAATCGTTCCTTCACAGATTCAGCCGAGCGAAGGTAATTGAAGAACGGGTGGTTCTATCAATTTAGTAGCGTTAACTAGAGCATTGTGGAAGGAAGGTTTAGGTTCGAATTGTGGGTGTTTGAAATCATTCGGGCCAAAGATTTGAAGACCGTTGGGTGGTTCAAAGGTAGTGTCGTAATCGGAGGTTTACTCATCACATTCGAAGGACTTGATTCATTTTGAATCAAGGGAAGAGAATGCGTAGGTTCAACATTAACAATTAGAATTGAGTGTTTGATTTCTACTGCTTCTCTTGTACAAACAATTTGGCAACAAGTTTTATATACAGGTCTCAATTCTATTTTTAGAATTGAGGGCAGACGTACCCCGAGCGAGGATGACAGGGGAACTGCCTCAACAAATTGGTGTTGTTCTCTCTTTTTGCTATTTTTATTTCTGAATTTTACGTTTGTGTGCAATCAAATTGGTTGACTAAAATTCTAGTTTATTATGGTGCTGAAACACATTTAAAAAACACATTACAATCCGTTTGGTTGTAATTGGAAAAGCTTAGCACTACATTTACATAGTGAATTTTACTTGGAGTGCTTCGCACACCACGTGTTCGACAAATTGCTTGAACACAAACGTTTTGAGCTATTTTTCAACTTGAGTTTATTTTCACAAAGCATTGGAAATTGAACAACTTTGAGTAAATAAAATCATATTGATTTGTGTTCAAACTTTTGATTCAATTTCTCATCTTAATTGGTATTCCATATAGGCGTAGCGTATATCCGATCTTTTTGGTAATGGTTCGTTTAAACGATCGTAGTTCCTCGGTCGCTTCCGCTTAAAAGTTTTAAAAACCAATTTATCATAAGCCCGACTCTGTATAAGAATTAGTGATCTATTCAACCCCGTTTAGATCGTTGTCGTCGTCTAACAATATTAATTGTAAATTTATAGATAATATCTTTAATTCTTTATCATAAATATAAAATAGATCAAATAAAATAATAAATTATTAAACATATTTTTAATATAATTGTTTAATTTTATTAAATTTAAATTTATTTTAAATAGTTATTCATAAGAATTATTTTTACGATATATATTTTAAAAAATTATGTAATCTTGATTATGTTAATATCTTTAAAAATGAATATTTAAGTTATTGAGTATTAAATTAATATTTTAATTATATAAAATTGTTGTGAATTGGATACTTTGAGACAAAGTATAAACAATTTCTTCTTGATCAAGAAACACATAAGGGTTAGGGTTAACAAAGAAAAAAAGGTAAAACAACAAGGAACAACAAGGATTGGTTATTAAACTGCTATTATTTCCTTTCTCTTAGAACAAGATTACAAGTATACAAGAATAACAAAATAACCTCTTTCTCTTGAAATTAGGATTTTATCTTCCTATTTTTCCTTATGACAAGATTGAGAAACTACCATCCTATTTATAAGAAAAATAGCATACTAACCTAATGAACTTTTTAACAATTACCCATTACAAGTTAACTTAGGGTACAAGCTAACTTAAACAATTGGGCTTACAAGCAAGACCCAATTCAACATGCTAACAACCCTAGCAATTTTGACTAATGCATGTTAGAATAAACTTCGACTATAACACGCATTACTCATGAAAAGACTTTGACCATCTAGAGTTCGATCCAACATCTCACAAATCTCCACCTTGGATCTAACTATATAACATCAAGAAACTAGCTTTCTTCATGCAGCTTTATTAACTGCACACATTGGAAAAACTTGCAACTGGGCAACACCTTGATGCTCATATCAGCAGCATTATGATCTGTCGAAACCTTCAGCACTTGGACTTCTCCACGCTCGATTACCCCTCTGACGAAATGCAGCTTCACATCAATGTGTTTGGTTCGCTCATGATAGACTGAATTCTTTGACAGGTGTATTGCACTTTGACTATCACATTTAACAGTGATAACTCGACCTTGAAGTTTCAGCTCCTTTGCAAAACCTTCAAGCCACAATGCTTCCTTCACAGCTTCAGTTAGGGCAATATACTCCGCTTTAGTGGTTGATAATCCAACGACCTTCTGAAGTGTTGCTTTCCAACTGATTGTTGTCCCAAACATAGTGAACACATATCCAAAGATAAATTTTCTAGAATTCATACAACCTGCATAGTCAGAGTCAACATATCCTTCGATTGCTGCTTTACTATCTTCACCTAAGGCTCCACCATAAATTAGGACTCTATTTAGAGACCCGTTATGTACCTTAAAATCCACTTCAATGCTTTCCAGTGAGCCTTTCCAGAATTCGCCATGTACCAGCTTACAAGACTTATTGCATATGCTATGTCGAGTCTAGTACATACCATAGCATACATCAAAGAACCTACTATGTTAGCATATGGAATGCTATTCATATAAGTTCTTTCAACATTAGTGTTGGGACACTGATCTATACTTAGCTTGAATTGAGGTTTTGTCGGAGTCACAACAGGCTTTGAATTCGACATACCAAACTTTTCGAGAATCTTCTGTAGGTATGCCTCTTGAGATAAGCATAATTTCGACTACTTTCTATCTCTCCGGATGTCAATCCCAAGAATCCTGGACGTAGCTTCCAGATCCTTCATGTCAAACTCTTTATTGAGTTCAGCCTTCACCCTCATTATATCTTCGACATTGTTGCTTGCTATAAGAATATCATCCACATAGAGCAACAAAATAACAAATGAATTACCCAGTCAAAATCTGAAGTAAACATAGTGGTCAAACTGACTTCTGATGAAACTTATGCGTGTCATGAACTTGTCGAATCTCCTATTCCACTGTCGAGGAGATTGTTTCAGTCCATATAAGGATCTATTAAGCTTGCGCACATAATCTTCCTTCCCTTTTTCGACATACTCTTCAGGTTGCCTCATCAGGATTGTTTCATCTAAGTCACCATACAAGAACACAGTCTTCACATCCATTTGTTCCAGTTCAAGGTCGAATTAGGCCACTGTGGCAAGCAGCATTTGAATGGATTTGTGCTTCACAACAGGAGAGAACACATCATTGAAGTCGATACCTTCTTTCTGAGTGAACCCCCTAGCAACCAATCTTGCCTTGTATCTCTTTGGCGCCACTCCTTCGATTCCTTCCTTAACTTTGAAAATCCATTTACAGCTGACTAACCTGGCTCCAGCAGGTTTCTTGATCAGTTCCCAGGTGTTGTTATCATGAAGAGATTTCACCTCATTATTTATGGCCTTCATCCATTCAGTCTTCTTTCAACTCCTCATAACTTCCTTATAGTCTCTAGGTTCTTCATCTAGAACCTCACTAGCAGAGATTAAGGCATAAGCTATAAGATCTGCATACTCAAGTCTCTGAGGTGGCTTGGTGACTCTCCTCGACCTGTCTATTGCTAGCAGGTAGTCATTATCAGTCTCTTCATTTTCGGCAACATCTTCTGCGTCTTCTTCAACTTCATCTGGGGTACGTAATTCAGCATCAACATGCTCCGCCTCAACAGTAATCTCTCCATGTTCCAACTCTTTGTCAGCATCATTAGTTTTCTTACTGTTTCATTTCATTTTACTCTCCTCTATGCAATAACGGTTTCCATTTACTGTTTTCTATGCAGTTTAATATTACATATTTATAAAGATAGACTTTTATTATTTTTCGCATTGATTGATCTAATTCAATTTTAAAGAGAGATATGTCATTTTATATAAAAAAATTTGTGAGTTTTATTTTTAATCAACATAGAATTTAGAATTTTCTCAATACATATTTTTATGTCTAATACTATTAAACTTGATCCGTGAATATAAACAATCAATAGACAAATTATCAATTTATGAGATTTGGCTTTTTATTCCCCCTCTTATACGCAACAATTTTTAACTAAATATTTATTCAATACCTTATTTCTTTTTGTCAAGTCTTGTATTAGGCTACTTCTTAAAATTTAAAGAAAAATATTCGAATGAAAATGAAAAAAAAAAAAACAACTTTAGCAAAATTAATTTGACAAGAAACCGCTTCCTTTTTTTCCTCTGCGAATAATAGTTTTAATTTATGATCATTTATATAAAAAAAAAAAAAAAAAGGATAATCTCTTATCGTTATTAGTAAAACAATAAACTCATAACTAATGAAAAAATATTTTAAAAATGTGATATTTTATTCCATAGGAAAAAATATAATATTTATCAAAACGTTTTTTAATATCTATAAAAAAAAAAAACTTATTAATTATACAGGTTGGAATGTCATTATTTTCAATAATACAATTCTCGTTTCTATTGTATTACATAAGCTTTTAATGCACCAAACGAACCATTAAATTTGTATAAATAGCTTAGCTTTGGGAAACAAAATGAGAACAAAAACAAGTCAGGTATGGAGATGAACAACAATAGAGAGAGTTTTAGCAGAAATGAAGCAAGAGTTCACACTGTTGTTGAGCTCGGTGGATTTTACACAGAGAGTAGTGAAAAACAAGAAAAGAAAACTCTTAGAAATTCTCTATCTGCAAGACAAATGAAGTCGCTCGTTGCTCTTTGTGATACTCTCTTACCTTCCATCAATGACAGGAAAGTTGTTGCTTCATCTGATGAATCTGTAAACAATTTCTACCGTACTTCGGCTTCCATGGCTGGCACACATGAACATGTAGGATCATTGCAACTTTTTGTTCTTCTCTCTTTCTGTTTTTCTTATCTTGGTCATTTATTTATGAAAAGATCATGCAATAATTCCCTTAAAGAAACTTTAATGCCAGTTTTTTCTTTAAAAATGAATTGATTTCGATATTCTTATGTTGACTTCGTTTTTCACTTGAGCCCAAATGCTTGTATTTGGATGAAATCATCATTTTTCAAATTTTATTTTGAATGGCAAAACAAAAATTAGTTAGATGTTGCATATTTCTCGTAAGTAAATGTCTAGAAACATTTCTTAATAAACATTAGCTATTTTGTAGTATTAATTTCAAATGTGAGATTAGTTTTTACGGTGAACATTACTATAAATTACCAAATCTGATTCATATATTCTTAATTAAGAAGTAATGGGTCTCTTTCTGGGTATTGTTAGTCCCCTTTCTTTCTCTATATTCACTTGAATGCTGAAAACTGATTGATCACCAATTTAATTGTCAGTACACTATAGCAAGTTTATTATTCACTCCATCTTAATTATATATATATATATATATATATATATATATATATATATATATATATATATATATATATATATATATATATATATATATATATATATATATATATATATATATATATATATATATATATATATATATATATATATATATATATATATATATTTCCAAATTACACTCTTGATGTGATTAAAAGAATTTAATAAGTTATTTATTTCTTTATATTGAAAATAAAAATTTATTAACATTAATGATAAATATATACATTAACTAAATGAAATTTTTATTTTGTGTTCAAAAACTTTTTTTTAAGAAGTATATGAAACCTTAAACCAGTGGGTCGCCCATTAAATTTTATGCTGAAATCCAATGTTCAGTCTCTGTTATTTAGATTCCACCCTACAAAATTTAATACTAAAGGGAGTAGTAGCAACTACCCTAATTAAATCACATATATATATATAGTGTGGTTGATTTTTTGGTGTAATAATTTGTAGTTAGGAGTTTTGCTGAGTGAGAAACTGGAACATCCAAGTACATGGTTATTTATGATATCATTATGGCTGCTATCGACATGGTTTGGCACATTGATATTGTGTGGTGCTGCATGTCTGTCAACCAATTTCCCATTCTTCCATAGCTACCCTCACTTGTCGCCGGAGAAACGCGAAAAAATATTGCAGGGTTGGTCTCAAAGTTACTTTCGAGCCCTTAGGATGCTTTTTAGAACCATAAAGCTTCTCACTCTCTTCGTCTTTTTTACTCAGGTAAATTATACTACTTCAACTTCCTTGTTAAATGCATTGAATGCTTTCTGTTTCTTACACTTTCTTTTCCTTTTTTGATCATTAATAAGTGTTGAAACTGTTCTGTTCTGTACTACTGAATTATTACTATGCAGTACATGTTTTTTCACACTCTTGAAACAATAACACTGTGACGCTTTCTGATTCCAGAAAATTATGAGAATTGATTGGTATTTGGGTTTGAATTAATGCTTGGGCCCTACATTGGCTACCTATTTGTTATTCTCGTACAATTTCCAAAGAGGTAGTACTAAAAAGAACAAACATTAGTTTGTACATGCATAATGCATTACAAATTTGTATTCTAAACACAGTAAATAGAATGGAAAACCATGTCTGAGTTAGTAAATTTATACAATTAGTGTGGCACAAATTTTTCAAAAGCCAGTTTTCAGTGATAATAGGACAATCCAATAAAATTAGTATTCTCTCTGGAATGAGAAGTTGATATATTTTGTTTCAAAGTATGTCTTTATGATTGCTTTGGACCGCGTACTCATTGTGCAAGAACTCTTTCATTTTCAGATAGATGAAGAAGAAAACAACCTATCATGGAAGGCGATTGGATATAGTGGACCTGATCCGGAGTTCAAAGCGCAGAAGAAGAATAAGAAAAACATGTTACATAAAACATTGAAAAAAGAAGAAAATGGTGATAATGAAGATAAAGATGAAGAGGCTTTTGGACCTCTTTACAAAGGTCTTGTCCATATGAACAATCCGCGTGACATCGTTACAGATTCTCTAAGACGAATTGGATTCCCTGTATCCGTCGCTCCATCGCAGAATAAAGCTTCTACGGTCTCGTCTCCTTCTCTAGTTATACAATGTGATGCAGTAGTTGTTGGTTCTGGATCCGGAGGCGGGGTGATAGCTGGAGTCCTAGCAAAAAGTGGTTACAAAGTGTTGGTATTGGAGAAAGGAAACTATTTCGCTAGGAACAATCTTTCCCTTCTCGAAGGACAGGCACTGGAACAAATGTACCTCTCAAATGGTTGGGTAGCATCCGAAGATATGTCTATACTAATACTAGCAGGTTCGACAGTTGGTGGAGGGTCTGCAATCAACTGGTCAGCCAGCATCAAAACCCCTCACCATGTACGCAAGGAGTGGTGCGATCGCCACGAGCTAGAATTGTTTCAAAGTAGATTATACAAAGAAGCACTGGATGTTGTGTGTGAGAAAATGGGAGTCCAATCTGATATCGAAGAGGAAGGGTTTAATAACGCGGTGCTGAGAAAAGGGTGTCATGAAATGGGGTATCCTGTTAGTACTATTCCAAGGAATGCTCCACCTGATCACTACTGCGGTTGGTGTTGCTTGGGATGCAAGGATGGTAAAAAGAAGGGTACATTAGAAACATGGCTTGTGGACGTGGTAAAATCGGGTAATGGAGCGATTCTACCTGGTTGCGAGGCTATACGAATCTTGCATGGAGAAAATAAAGGAAGACACAGGAAAAAAGCGAAAGGAGTTGCGTTTGAAATTGACTACAATGGTAAAAAAGAAATATGCGTGGTGGAATCGAAGGTCACGATTGTAGCCTGTGGAGCACTCCGTACTCCGCCATTACTCAAGAGAAGTGGTTTGAAGAACGAAAACATTGGGAGAAACTTGCATCTTCATCCCGTGACAATGGCTTGGGGCTATTTCCCTGACTCGCCTTCTTCGCCCGAGTTGTGGCCAGAGGAACATAAGAAAAGCTACGAAGGAGGGATTATGACAGCAATGTCTACGGTTGTTGCAGACTTTGAGAGAACTGGATACGGGGCAGTGATCCAAACGCCTTCGTTGCATCCGGGCTTATTCTCACTTCTGATGCCGTGGAATTCTGGATTAGATATGAAAGATCGAATGCGCAAGTTTTCAAGAACAGCTCATGTATTCGCACTGGCAAGGGATCAAGGATCAGGAACGATTGATTCGCATAACTGCATAAATTATCAGATAAAAGATGTAGACAAAGACAATTTAAACCAAGGAATTGAGAAGGTGCTGAGAATTCTGGCAGCAGCCGGAGCTGAAGAAATCGGGACACACAATAACAAGGGAAGGAGCCTAAATGTTAAGAAAGTGAGCTATAACGAATTCGAGAAATTCGTGAAGGAAGAAAGTTCGAGGCCATTAACCGACCTTTCGACGCCCATATGCTCGGCGCATCAGATGGGGAGCTGTCGTATGGGCGTTACTCCGAAGGAATCGGTTGTGAACCAGATGGGGGAAACATGGGAAGTTGAGGGTCTTTATCTTGCAGATACAAGTGTGTTTCCCACAGCTTTGGGTGTGAATCCAATGGTCACTGTTCAGGCTATTGCATATTGTACAGCACAACATGTTCTTGGAGTTCTTAAAATGAAAAAATGAAGTGGGAAAATAAAAACTTTCTCAAGTTGCAATAACTTTAAAGATGTTACAGAAAGAATAAAAATACTAGGCTAATAGAATCAGTCTAGTTAGTAGTTCGCATATCATTAGAAATATTTGTATTTTTGTTATGGTTACTAAATAATCTGTGTTTGGAAATTCTTCGGAGAGATCCAAGAGTTTGAATTTTTTCCAAAGAATTTCCAAACATGTACTAAATGTAATTGCTCACAATATAGTTTTATTGTTGATGTTTCAATTGTAACACGTGACTTTGATTGTTAACTTTCATATTATACGGTATTTTGCAAAATTTTTAAGCATAACCGGTATATTAGAAACGAATATCTATACGTTTCCACTTTCACTCCTAAAAGACCCTATATAGTTGATGAGAAAAGTAAAGCCAAAAAAACAAGATCAAATTCAATTAAAACATAGCATCTTGATCAAAGCAATATGGTAGACTCAATAGGAAGAAAGTTTCAAACACCACAAGAAAGAACATGAAGAAAGAAAGTTTCAAGACATATATTCATTAATATTCCTTTTACTCTTTTCTCAAGTCTCTTCATTCAACACAAACCATTTCATCGTGGAAATTCCTCCTCCTAGATTCAACTTTAGAGTAATCTTCTTTATCATTATTTCTCTCTCTTTTGTGGTTTGATTTCATTCATCTTGTGTATAATTGTTGAGATAACAAGGAATAAGGTTAACTACTTCTCATCAAGTTAAAGGTGATATTGTTGTTTTTATATTAGCTATCCAGTTGACTACTTCTCATCAAGTTAAAGGTGATATTGTTGTTTTTATATTAGCACTATCGTGTCTGGTGTCTGAAATTCTGTTCTTCAAGAAACAGATGTCAAATATGATGTCGTAGACAACTGATTCGATAAGTTAAACTAAAAACACTACAATGACAAGTACTAAATGATAGAGCAGAAAAGCACTAAATAACACGATAGTTGTTTATTCAATCCGGCGAAATAACACTTACGTCTGGGGGCCGAGTCCACAACCCAAGAAATGAAATTCATTATTTGTAACTTAGTACAATTAGTCTTACAAGCAACAACAAACCCTATGTTGTTCAATACCTCTTCCTAACACTACTCAATTGTTAGACGAATGCGACTTATCTAAAGGGGTGAATAGATCTCAAGTTAAAAAAAAAATTTACAAAAATTGTTCTTAAAATTTTAACGACTAGTAGAAGTGACCCGGATTGAATCGTATAAAATGAATCGCTATCAAAAAGCTCAGATATGTGTATATAAAAATCAATTGATGATAATGATAAACAAATCAATCAATGTGTTTACCAACAATCATTTAAATGATATAGCTAAATGTAGAAGATATTTTCAATGTCAAATTTCACAAAAATGCAATGAGGCAAATTATCAAACACCTTGTGTGCAATCAATTTCGTTTAGAATTTTGTATAGTTTTGTTGATTTGTAAATCCAACCACAATAAAATAGATTGTGATCAATTCAACAAAAATCTTTTTCAAAGGTTATCAAAAAGTTTAACCAAACTTATTGATCGCACAATCGAATAATTCAACAATTTTGCAAATGAAAAATTAAAAAAAGAGAGAGAGAGCAAGGATTTGTTTAGAAAGTTTCTCAATCAGTCTCGCTATGAGTGTATTTGCCCTCAATTCGAACTCGAATTGAGATAATGAAAATTAACCTTACTTTACAAAAGTAGTTTATAAGATAAATGTAGCAATGCAACCCCACAGACTTTATGCTTGATGTTGATTCTAACATTTTCTCTTCCCTTGATCTGAACTTGAATAACTCACCCAACAATATCAATTTGATTCAATGTCTCACACTACTCCTTTGCGAGAAACCCGATTCTTCAAAACTTTCACTCGATTAAATCTAAATTGTGAATTGTTGTCACCTAACAGTATCAATTTGATCCACCGTCTCACACTACTCTTTTGCAAGAAACCTCGTTCTTCAAAGCTTTCACTCGATTGAATCCAAATTTCGAATTATTGTCATTCAAGATTTGCTAAGATGATCCACCGTCTCACACTACTCCTTTGGAAGAAACCCATAATTCTTCAAAATTTTCACTCGATCGAATCCTAATTGTGTAATCTTATCCAAAACCTTCAAATCCCAATTGATCTTAAAGTAAAACCCCATCTTGATTTTCTTATTTGAAACCCTCAAATATTCTCAACCTAATTTATAATTCAACAATCTAAATTGGATGTTATCAACTCTAATCCTAGATGGCACCCAAACAAAGAATGATTATGTGTAATTTGTTTGTGCGTATGCATAGCACAAAGGTTGAAGATGATCAATATCCCTAGTTTCATATATGATTTTTCAGCAACCACTAGCCTTGAAAAATGATGAATGTATGAAGTGTATACATATATATATATATATATATATATATATATATATATATATATATATATATATATATATATATATATATATATATATATATATATATATATATATATATATATATATATATATATATATATATATATATATATATATATATATATATATATATATATATATATATATATATATATATATATATATGCGTGTGTGGGTGTGTGCGCGCGCGTGTGTGTGTGTGTGTGTGTGTGTGTGTGTGTGTGTGTGTGTGTTTGTGTGTGTGTGTATGCGCGCGCAAGATAAAAGCAAATAAAATACAAGAGGTTTAGAAAATAATGTAAAATTTTAAAAAAAAATTATGCATGTGCCAACCTATGTAAGTCATGTGTCGACTTGTATAGGTTATGTGTCGAAACATACATGCAGCACATCAAACAGAGGCTATAGACTTTAAAACCGGACTACATATGTCGACCTATAGCACGTATGTGTCGACCTGTATATGTTATATGTCAACACATACAGGCAGCACATCAAATAGAAGTTATAAGCTTTAAAATTAACCAACATGTGTCATTCTATAACTCATATGTGTTGACAAATAGATCTGTTTTTCAAATAAAAACTTGTTTTTAATGCATGAAACCTTTTCTAAATCATTTTCAAAATATTTTTATACTTTCTAATGCTAAGATGCACATTAAGACTCAGAAGATATCGTCCAATATATATATATATATATATATATATATATATATATATATATATATATATATATATATATATATATATATATATATATATATATATATATATATATATATATATATATATATATATATATATATATATATATATATATATATATATATATATATTGAGAATGGGTAAGTTATATGAGAATGTTAGAATCAATAAAAACCATCATAAAATGGAATGGTTGAGATTAAATGATATTTTTAAAATTTGATTAATGATTTATCTTTCCTCTTAATGACACATCATTTAGTGAAAACCACGATTTCATCTCAACAATACCAATTTGATTCAATGTCTCACACTACTCCTTTGCGAGAAACCCGATTCTTCAAAACTTTTACTCGATTAAATCTAAATTGTGAATTATTGTCACCTAACAGTATCAATTTGATCCACCGTCTCACACTACTCTTTTGCAAGAAACCTCGTTCTTCAAAGCTTTCACTCGATTGAATCCAAATTTCGAATTGTTGTCATTCAAGATTTGCTAAGATGATCCACCGTCTCACATTACTCCTTTGGAAGAAACCCATAATTCTTCAAAATTTTCACTCGATCGAATCCTAATTGTGTAATCTTATCCAAAACCTTCAAATCCCAATTGATCTTAAAGTAAAACCCCATCTTGATTTTCTTATTTGAAACCCTCAAAGATTCTCAACCCAATTTACAATTAAACAACCTAAATTGGATGTTATCAACTCTAATCCTAGATGGCACCCAAACAAAGAATGATTATGTGTAATTTGTTTGTGCGTATGCATAGGACAAAGGTTGAAGATGATTAATATCCCTAGTTTCATATATGATTTTTCAGCAACCACTAGCCTTGAAAAATGATGAATGTATGAAATGTATACACACACACACACACACACACACACACACACACACATATATATATATATATATATATATATATATATATATATATATATATATATATATGTGTGTGTGTGTGTGTGTGTGTGTGTGCGCGCGCAAGATAAAAGCAAATAAAATACAAGAGGTTTAGAAAATAATGCAAAATTTTAAAAAAAATTATGCATGTGCCGACCTATGTAAATCATGTGTCGACTTGTATAGGTTATGTGTCGAAACATACATGCAGCACATCAAACAGAGGCTACAGACTTTAAAACCGGACTACATATGTCGACCTATAACACGTATGTCTCGACCTGTATATGTTATATGTCAACACATACAGGCAGCACATCAAATAGAAGTTTTAAGCTTTAAAATTAACCAACATGTGTCATTCTATAACTCATATGTGTTGACAAATAGATCTGTTTTTCAAATAAAAACTTGTTTTTAATGCATGAAACCTTTTTTAAATCATTTTCAAAATATTTTTATACTTTCTAATGCTAATATGCACATTAAGACTCAGAAGATATCGTCCAATATATATATATATATATATATATATATATATATATATATATATATATATATATATATATATATATATATATATATATATATATATATATATATATATATATATATATATATATATATATATATATATATATATATATATATATATATATATATATATATATATATATATATATATATATATATATATATATATATATATATATATATATATATATATATATATATATATATATATATATATATATATATATATATATATATATATATATATATTGAGAATGGGTAAGTTATATGAGAATGTTAGAATCAATAAAAACCATCATAAAATGGAATGGTTGAGATTAAATGATATTTTTAAAATTTGATTAATGATTTATCTTTCCTCTTAATGACACATCATTTAGTGAAAACTACGATTTAATCTCAATCATTCCTTTTTAA